CTGTATTTCATACTGGCTCCTCCCACGTGCTCCTTCCAGAGCACTGATTGGTCACTCAGGTTAAACCTGGAGTTACATGGATGAGTCATCCTACACTTTATCAATAACACAAGCTCACCTCACAGGAGCCTGTCACCTGACCGCAGTCAGCTGGATCAGCAGCGGGGATGTGCGACGTGGACGACAAACACGTGACTCTAATTACTCAGCAACGCACGACTGCACGTCGGGTCCAGGAGGTTACGAAGCTGCCTCCCTCCCACCTGCAGCAGGTGTGACCACGCGTGTGATGTCACACAGAGTGCAGACACGCTGCTGCGGCCGGTGTACGGACAGCATTCCCAACGGCGTCCGCGTCACGAGGTCGTTCGTGCAGTGAAAACAGGAACACGCTGGTTTCTGCTGATGAATAAAGTTTTGACTCCACCGTCAGGCTGGCTGAGCTGCGACGCCACGCCGAGCTGTCGTCCTCGCGGCGTTCACGTCTTGCTGCTTTCGGCGACGCACTTGTGCTTTTTGACCTGCGAATGCCACGTGAACCTTTTGTCGCACACGTTGCACTTAAAGGGCTTCTCCTCCGAGTGGACGGCCATGTGCGTGATGACGTTGGCCTTGTTGGTGAACTTCTTGGCGCAGACGGAGCAGCTGAACGGCTTCTCGCCCGTGTGCACCCTCATGTGGTTGACGAGCGTGTTGCGCAGGCTGAAGCTGGTGTTGCACACGGAGCAGGTGAAGGGCTTCTCCCCGGTGTGCACGCGCAGGTGTGTGGTGAAGTTGGAGCTCTTGGAGATTTTCTTGCCGCAGAACGGGCACGTTTTCTCCCCCGTGTGGCTCTTCATGTGGCTCTGCAGGTGGTTCTTGCCGCCGAAGCGTTTGCCGCACTCGGAGCAGCTGTAAGGTTTCTTGGCTAAGTTACTTCCCACGTCTCTCACAGCGTCCTCTGACGGCGGTTTCCCGCCCTGCACCGGAGCATCCTCTGAGGCCCCGGTGTCAGAGGAAGTCCTGACAGGCTGCGGGTGGAGGTTTCTGGCTGCTTCTGGTCCTGCTTGATCCTCTCCACCAGCTCGTGCCTGCAGCTGGCGGCTGCTGAGCTCGCTGCGGGTGTGAAGGAGGTCGGGGCACTGAGTGCTCTCTTCCACCTCCTCTTCAATCTTCACGGTGACGGGAATGATGGTGAGGTCCTCGTGCACTCCGGGCCGCTCTCCCAGCTGATTGGTCCAGAGCTCCTCACGCTCATCTTTGACTCGTGGCGGTTCTGGACTCTGCCGGTGCAGACCGGGGCTCTTCTGCTCCTGCGATGCTCCTTTATCCGCCGTAAACTTCGTGGAGCTCAGGGGAGACCCTGGAGGACACAGAGGGAGGAAACGAGCACTGGTTAGCCCAACAGACCAAACGTGACCAGCAGGGGGCGCTCCTCTGGAGCCATGAGTACGTCCCATTCACTGCTTTCAGGCTGACTGAATAAAACATCAAGTTCATTTTGGACATTTTGGTTTTGTTAGAGAGGACCAGACAGCAGGATTAGTTACCATGGTTACGTCCATCTAAGAGTGCACGTCATGTGATTAGTGTAGCACGGTTACTCATAAACTCTTTTGGGGGGGGTTAACTTTCAATATATCGTTTAAATGAAAAATAATGGGGCTGCGGTGACATCACTGCTGACCCATAGTGGCTCCTTTAGGTGCTGAGGGGGAGGTGTCCCTCACAAGGTGGGGGCAGGTACACACACTCACCTGCACCCTTAGTGAAAACACGCTGCTGCTCCATCCACAACACCAGAGAAAAATTATTCTCCATGGTTACTGTTGCTACGGAGACACATCTCACCTGCACCCAACTTACAATTAAACTGCCTAGTTAAAATTTACAACATCTGGAACAGCTGCTTATCCTTTCTCACGACAACAACTAAATAATATTAATTATTATTACTATAAATATTATAACAAAAGTAATATTTTTATTAGTGTTGTTGTTATTTTGTTGTTGTTATTATTATAAAAGAATAACATGAATAA